ATTCGGATTTAGTTTAGCTTAGCCTTATTATAAGATTGACCTTAAACAGTGATATTTTTATAATATTAATACTTGGTTTACAACATTTATGATGATGTTCATAAGACCACCAGTGACTTTGAACAGGGGCTTGTGGAATGATCATTCATGATTCTATTGTTCAAATCTCTTGTTGAAAGGATTAAAAAATTATTTAATTTATATAATATAAAAATATATAACTAAATTATTAAAAATCTATTAAAGAAAATAAAATAATTAATCAATTTTTCTACTAGTCAACAAAAATTTACTAATAATTTTTTTAAAAAAATAAATCAATAATATATATATATATATATAAAGAGAAAAGTGTAATATGTATTGACTTATTTTTTTTCTTTCTCGCTATAAACTTTCGTAAAATTATAATTAAGTTACCTTTAATTTTTTTATTTCTACTTTAAATCTAATTTATTTTATTTTATTTTTATTTTTTTAATCATGACCTACTCAAAATCAAATTATGAATCTTTATCTTTTTATTACAAATTTCTTTATAATGTGTCACTATTATTAATTTATTTTTTTGTTATATAATAATTTATAATAATAACTCATAATTTCATGTATCATACGTTTAATTATTTTTTTAATACAACTGTATATATTTATATTTTTAAATTTAAAAATCAAAGTTACTAATAATATTCAAATATTTATGAGAACATTATTTTTTAACTTAAAAAAAAAAAGGCCTACCTGAAGACAACAATCTCAATTTATACTATTTGCACAATTATACTTGTCGAATTTGCATCAGATATATTAGTGCAGCCACATCCCCTGACAGACTAAATTAATCACCAGAGGTTTCTCAAAACTGTTTTGATGATCTCAAAGTAGTCTATTCTATTCAAATAATAACAGACTCCACACATCAAGTATTAGCATAGTACACCCATTTTTTTGTTAATTTTTTTTGTCAAGAAACAAATTATCTACAAATGTCTAAGTTGTGAATAAAAAGCAACTAACTCTAAAGAAGCACACCCAATTAATTGGTCAATTCTTTATTTTATATATATATATATATATATATATAATTATTCTAGATAATTTTTTTAAAAGTATTAATATGAGATAAAATAATAGGAAGAAAAAATAAAACTAATTTTTTTATAAGTTAAAATTGTTTATGTATAAATTAATTTATAAAAATTCTCTAATATTAGTTTTTCTAAAAACTTTTTCTTAACTTATGCATAATATAATTTTAAAAATGGAGAAGTTTATTTAAAAAAAAAATTCTTCTTGAAAGTGTTTTTGGATAAATTTGCCTTGAGACAATAATACCGTGTATCTGCTCAACTTAGCTTCCTTTGGATAGCAGCGACGGACTTTCTTGGTGACGGGGAGCCACGACTCCCCAAATTTTTCTATATATATATATATATTTAATATTATATTTATATGATTATTTTATAAAATAATTAATGAATAATAATATTTTTTTAAAATTTTATTATCACGTATATTTATTTTGAATAAAATAATGAAAAATTATATTATTTTTTAATTAGGAAAACATTTAATTTATATATAAAAAGATTAAATTCACACCCCAAATTTTGTATTAAAATTCCACCACTGTTGGGTAGCATGATCATTCTGTTGATTAAAAGGCATCCCTCAACCACAATTCATTACTCATTGATGCACAAATAGTTTTTCTTCTATATTGGTTGTATATAGATAGATTTTTACTCCATTATTCCTTCCCCCATAGGCAGGCAAGGATTAAATAATGAGCTAGCATGGGTATCCAACTTAATTAGAAGAAGTAGTTGTTAGATTCTGAAATAATTACTCAAGTAATCCTTATCCTAATTAAAGTTTCCCATAAAGAACACACAAAACGCGGTAATAGCGTGTGCAGCTGTGTGAGGAATATATTCGAGCTTAAAGCTCCTACTAACCCAAAATGCAAAGAAAGATAGGTACCATTCTTCACGAATAGCAAGCACTCTTGAGACTTCAGACTCAACATGTGACTGCTTTTTTAGACTCTAACTTTGTATTCACATGTTTCTCAACTTTTTATTATTTACCAGTTATCAAAGAAGCTTCGGAAGAAAGACGAGAGTATTCTTGCTCTCGAATCAAGCCACGTGTCAAAAAGGGGCTACACACTTTTTGCAGCTGTATTTAATAATTGGTAATTAGTAATAGCCATCTTCCTCTAAAAAAAAGCATCACTTGTTTTAGATCAAATTGTTCAATTATTCTTCCTCTAACATAGTGGCCGTGGATAACTTTTGCAAAGCATGATATAAAAATATATATATATATATATTTTATAATACCATCTAATAGTGATTGTGAAGTTACATTCCAACGTCCAACCAGTGTGAAAATGTCATTTCTGGATCTTTCTTCTTAATTCTCTCCACCAATTATGCTCTCCCTGCCTTGTGTGCGCATTTATATATATATATATAT